GGAGGCCCGCCCTTCCGCGCTCGGCCCCCGCGCCCAGCCCGGCGTTCACTGTGCTGGACTCGGTGCCAGTTCCTGTTTGACCCTCACAGGAGCCCGGGATCCCGGCGGGACCTGGCCAGAAGGGGCAGCGAGTGTTGCAGCCAGGATTAAACCGGGGGCGTCTGGTGAGGAAACCGAGGCCCTAAAGGCCAAGTGTGGAGGGCCCCGGTTGGCCTGAGGCCCCGGGGGAGCGTCTGGGGAGGGTCGGGTCCTCCGAGGGAAGACAGCGGCAGTGTATCTCTAATTCAGGAATGTTTAGCGTGGGCAGGTTAATGGATTGGGTAGAAAGAAAATTACACCTTTATTGTCTCTGCGTGAAATTGAGCATTTCTTTCCCTGATTAACGAGTAGTGTTAGCAGTGCCCCAAACTAAGTCGTGATTTCACGTGGGGATGAGTGTAAATGGTAGTTAGAGATAGAATATCTGCAACTACTGCAAGCTGTCATTTCCACTCATCACTCTTTGATAGGCTGACAGGATCTTACTATTTAATATGTTGAATAGAAGCATGTATACTAGTATAGCATACGTTTGTTTTTTAAAAACATTTGATATCTATTTTTGTAATCCTATGTATGTCATTTAATGCAAGTAAACACTTTATTTAATGTGGCTACTTGAAAACTTAAGATTACATATGTGCTCACATTATGTTTCTATTGGAGTTGCAGGCCTCACCAGACCTGAATGGTAAAGGTCCTCTGCACTAGTGTCACTAGGGTGCTGATGGAGAGAGGCTGTACTTGACCTGGGTTCATAGCCAGCCAAGTTCAGCAGCTGACCAGTCTGGCCCACAGCATTGCTGCAGGGCCACCAGCGAGTCACTCCCTTTTTTGGGCCTCAGTTATTAATCTGTTCAATCTATCACCTCTAACGTCTTTCCAGTGGTCATCTGATGTAACTAGACCTTAAAATATTTTCATGCTGGTTATCCTGATATTTTTTATGAAAGAGTTTCAAGTATGCAGAGCAGGACCTCTAGCCTAACACTGTCCAATAGCAATGTAGGGTGAGCACGTATTAATTTAATTTTAATTTATTTATATTTTAAAAATATGTCTTTATTGATTTCAGAGAGAGGAAGGGAGAGAGAGGGAGACAGAGAGAGATAGAAACATCATTGATAAGAGAGTCATTGATTGGCTGCTTCCAGCAAGCCCCCTACTGGGGATCAAGCCTGCAACCCAGGCATGTGCCCTGACCAGGAATCAAACCTCAGTCTCCTCCATCATAGGTTGATGCTTAGCCGCTGAGCCAAGCCAGCTGGTCACATACGTAATTTTAAATTTTCAAGTAGTCACATTAAATAAAGTAAAAACAAATTGTGAAATTAATGTTAAGTTTCCATTAGCCCAATGTATCTAAAATATTATCATTTCAAAATGTAAAATAATCATGTATTTTACATTTTTTTGTACAGAGTCTTTGAAATCTGGTATTTTATACTTAAAGCTTGTCTCCATTCAGATTAGCCACATTTCATGTGCTTAGTAGGTACATGTGGCCAGTGGCTACCATGTTGGACAGCACAGCTCTAGCCCATTTGTTCACACCTTTTGCAGAAAATAAGTGTTTGAGTTAGCTTTCCTGGGCAAAGGCCCAAAGTGCCAGCATTTTTTTCCTAATAATAAATGATAATAGTTGCAAATTTTGAACATCTATTAAATGCCAGGCATTGTGCTAAAAACATCTCATTTAATCCTTATAAACTTGTGGTGAGGTGAGTGGGATTACCCTCATTTTACAGCGTAAGAAATTGAGGCATAGGTCAAGTAATGGTTACAATCACACAACTCCATTTAGGTCTCAAACTCAGCTCTCAGTACCCGTGCTCTTAGATCATAGCTTGAGAATATCACTAGCTTATATCTATTGAATCCCTACTGTACCAACACTGCTGCACTCTATATATCTGAGACCTCATCCAATTATTGCCTCATTCAACAGTGCTTTGTGGGTGACACTGTAGTTAATCCCACTTTACAGGTGAAGAGACTAATGTCAGAGCAGTGAGTGCTCAGGGACTCATGGATGGTTGTTTGGCAGAGCTTAAGTCAGAACCTAGGCTTCTAACCTCAGAACTCATGCTTGTAACCACTTCTCTGTCTTCTTTCTGCCTTATTGGACAATGAACCTGAGTTGACTTCATTATTTTTCTGACCTATGCCAGGTCCTGGAGGTAAAAGGCAGAGATGGACCTGGTGAGACTTGCCCGGCTCTTCTCCAGCCCCCACCCCCTGGGACTGTCCATCCTGCAACACCTTGACCCTCTCAGAGCCAGATGGGTAGGAGGTAGGGAGGGGCCTACATGGCTGAGGGCCATGGGGCTGACTGGGCCAAGACTAGCAGCCTTCAGCAGCAGCTCCCTCTCTCAGCTGCCCCTTTGCCAGGGAAGCCAGAAGAACACACGCAGCCTCAGCTCTGACCCCAGCAAGCCCAGCCCCATGGCCACCCAGGAGGAAGAGAAGGAAGAAAGCTTTGGGACTCTCTCGGATAAATATTCCTCCCGGAGAATGTTTCGCAAGTCGACGGCCCAGTTATATAACCTACGGCTCAGGGAACAAGATGAAGAAGATGAGGAGCTGGAGCCAAAATCATGGCAGGGCCGGAGAAACACCCCTTACTGGTACTTCTTTCAGTGCAAACACCTGATCAAGGAAGGAAAGGTGAGGAAACCTTTGGATTCTGCTGCTCCTGGCTCCTACAGGCCTGGTAGCTCAGTACTTTGTGAGGACCTGCCCTACCTTTTCAGTCTCTAGAGGTGGGGTGGTCAGGGCTCTTCTCTCCTCTGTCTTCACTCACCCTGGATTCTGTACCAGATGACTCGTTGCCCATCTGCCTGGATGTTGGCTTTCAGCGCCCACTCCTCACTGCAGCTCTCATATTCATATCTCCAGCCAGCCTTCCCGTGGACTCCCGATCTGTGTGTGTATCCAGCTACCTCCTCCTCATCTCTCTTACACTACCCACATTGACCTGAAGTTTTTGTTCCCAACCTTGTTTTTCCTTCACTTTCTTCATCTCACTAAATGGCAACCCCATTATTTCATCTGCCCCAGCCAAATGCCTTCAGGTCATTCCTAACTCTTGTCTTTCTCTCACCAGCTCTAACTTCAAAATGTTTTCAGTCCTAACACTTCTCACAACCCTACTGCTGAATGCCCAGGCCTAACCTCCTTGCTCCGTTACACTTGTCACAGGGCTCCCCGCCACTCTTGTCATGTCCTGCCCAGATGTCAGCTCAAAACACAGAGTTGTCTTATTAAAGCAGAAAGCAGGTAGTGTTACTCCTCCCTCCAAAATTCCTAATGTATTCAGTACATTGAAGATGTTCACTCTTTTAGGTATTGATAATGACATTTCATTTAGAGGTATGTGTTGAAGATTTTATGAATGAAATGATAAGATGTCTGGAATTTACTTTAAAAAGTTCTGTTTAGAGGGGGAGTGCAGAGTATAGATGAAACAAGATCAGCCAAATGTTAATAATCATTGTAGTTAAAACTGTTCTCTCTACTTTTGTGTATTTTTTGTAATGAAAAGTTAAAAAATAAACAAAGAGAAGCAGTGTCCTCACAATGGCTTATGAAGCCTGCAAGATCTGCCACCACCACCACTCTATGCCTCCCTTTATCTTGCCACTCTCAGCCCCTGACTTACCCTACTGCAGTGACCCCAACCTCCTCTCTGCTCCTCCAACTCCCAGGCATACTCCTTCCTCAGGGCCTTTGCACTGGCTGTTCCCTCAGATAGCCATGGGGCTCCTTCCCTCACCTCTTTCAGATCTTTGTTCACCTGTCACCTTCGGAGGCCCTGCTTGGCTGTCGTATCTAAAACTGAATGAACCTCCCATATATACCCTTCTGGCATTTACTACTTCGTTTTGTTCCTAGCACTTGTCACTATTTGACGTACTATATATTTTTCTTAGTTATCTCATTTGGTGTCTGTCTTTTCAAACTAGAAGATGAACTCCATAAGGGAACTCCCTCTTGTTCCTGCCAGCTGTATCCCTAGCAGATATCTTGCCTGGTATATAGTAGGACCAAGTAACTACTGGTTGAATGAATGGATGAAAAAATAAGGAGTCAAGGAGTGAACCAAGGATTTAAAGGGGAATGGCTTAGGGGTGGAGATGGGGCAAAGACAGCTGTGGGCCAAGGGAGTTTGCAATTGAAGGAAGCTAGTCACCCAGGGCTGCCATCCTACACCATCTCAGGAGGCTGTCACTGTGGGGTGGAGAGTTCCCATAGGTGGTGGGAGTCCAGTGGTCTTTCCTTCCTGACTACCACAAAGCTCTCATGCTGCAGAACACAGGGACCAAGAGGCTGGTGGCAGAGGCCCAGAGTGGGTGTTTGGGTCTTGGGTTCAGGGAGGGTCCCTCAATCTCAAACTCCCTCCATCTGCTGAGGGTCTCTGAAGCCACCCTGAGCCCCCTTCATTGTTTCCTCCTTCCTCCCCCAGCTGGCCGAAGCCCTGGACCTGTTTGAGAGGCAGATGCTGAAGGAAGAGCGACTCCAGCCCCTTGAGTGCAACTACACGGTGTTGATTGGGGGTTGCGGGCGGGCCGGATACCTGAAGAAGGCCTTCAGGCTCTATAATGATGTGAGTTGGGGCATAGGAGTGGCAGGGGCAGGGCTCTAAACAGCATGGATGTGGGGACCAAAAAGAGCTGGGTGCTGATCCTGAATGTGTCGCTTGCTAGTACATGGCTCTGGGCAGATGATTTAACCTCCCCGGCCTCAGTTTCATCATCTGTAAAGTGGAGGTGATCTTGGATAATTACATGAGGTGACATGGGAAGTCCTCCAGCATTTGCCTGGACCATGGCAGGCCCCACCCATCCCTTTTTTTTCTGCTGCTATTCCCAATTTGTGTTCCTTTTCCCTCATCCCTATCCTCACCCCACACACATGTACCCACATGCAACTTTCTTCCAAAGTTGGTCCTTTGAAGAGGGCTTTTATTTCTCTTGGAAGATGGTTTCACTTTACATTCACCCACCTCTGGGGTGTGTCGTATTGTTATTCTTAGAGCCAAGAAGCTATTTCCTCTTGAGTCAGGAAAGAGCTATGAAGACTAGCAGAAGTGATCCCATCTTCTCCTGCAGCCAGAAGCTGGGACATCCTTTACTTCAGCAAGGATTCGTGGGAACCTTAGTCTTGTCATTTGGGACACTCCTACTCCAGGCCTGATAATCTCTAGCTGGGAGCAAGGGGGAGGAATTGTACTTACAAATGATAAAGTAATATATTCTTTAAAAGACCTAATTAAATGTCATGGCATAGAAAAACAAGAGGCTGCCCTGATCACCTAGCCAGCAGAAAAGCATTTAGGTGCTAAGCAAAGGAGGAGGGGCAGGGGGCAGCACATTTATTGTGGCTCTTGGTTAAGAGTCCTTAGCAGCACTTCCTTACATTTGGAGGATCCTTAAGTGACTCCCATGTGTCACTTCCTCAGAGAAACCCAAGCCACTCTATTTAATTTTAGTTGTTTTCTATTACTTTGCTGCTTTCCCCCCAGTAAACATTTTATTTTAGAGTAATTTTAGATTTATAGAAAAGTTGCAAAGGTAATATAGAAAGTTCCCAAATACTCCCACCCCCCATGTTAACATCTAACATTATGGTGGTACATTTGTCAAAACTAAGAAACCACTGATAGTTCATAGAGTTCATAGTTCATTACTGTTAACTAAACTCCGGACTGTACAGTGGTATCTCGGTTTTCGAATGTCTCCGTTGACAAACATTTTGGTTTATGAACTCCGTAAACCTGGAAGGAAATGCTTCGGTTTTCGAACATGCCTCAGAAGTTGAACATGCCACGTGGCTTCCGCTGACGGCAAGACCCTGAGGCCTGGCTGTCGGCTGTTGGTCTCTTGGTTTTTGAACGTTTCAGAACTTGAACGGTCTTCTGGAATGGATCACATTTGAAAACCAAGGTACCACTGTATTTGGATTTCACCAGTTTTTCACTGATACCTTCTTTCTATTCCTCATCCAATTCAGGTTCCCATGTCCTCCAGTCTGTGACATTTTCTGAGATTCTTTGTTTTTCATGATCTTGACAGTTTTGAGTGGTACTGGTCAGGGGTTTTGTAGAATGTTCCTTATTTGAGAATTTGTGCATTCTCATGGCGAGACTGGGGTTATGGATTTGGGGAAAATATCATAGGGGTGAAGTACCCTTCTTATATAAGGACTTTACAACATCAGCATGACATCACAGGGGACATTTACCTTGGGTACATGGTTAAGTGGTATTTGCCAGGTTTCTCCACCACAAAGGCACTACATTTCCCTTTCGAGCCTTTGTTCTGTGGGTGTCCTTCATAGCACTTACTACAGTTGTTGATTACTTGTATGTTGTGTGTCTCACCATCTAGAGCAGGGGTGGGGAACGTCTAACCTGCGGGCCATATACAACCCTCAGAATCATTTGGTCTGGCCCTGCCAAGGCAACAGCAGGCAGGACTCAAAATTCAGTAAATCTAGGAGCTTTTTTCATAGCTAATTTTTAAGTTGATAATTTTGTATGGCCAGTGAATGATATTATAAATATCCAAATGGCCTTTAGCAGAAAAAAGATTCTCCACCCCTGCTCTAGAGTGTAGGCTTAGTGATACAGGCTATATCTGTTCTGGTAACCACTGGTGGCCAGTGCCTGACTTGTAGTAAGTCCTTAGTACACATCTGTAGAATGTGTGAATACATGTAGAATGTCCATCATCCTCAAGGTCAGGATCATTGTCTTCATTTTTCAGATGAGGAAATTGAATGCTGGAGAGATGAAGTGCCTTGTTCAAGGTTGCCCCTGGAGTTGGGATTTGAGCCCCAAAAGCCTGACCAGGGCTCTTCACACTCTTTCGCAGAGGCTTGTTGCCTGTCCTGGGTCAGGTGGCTCTTACCTGGGAAACAGTGGGTGCTTGGAGGAGCTCAGTCACCTGGAGGGCTTGATAAGCACAGTGTTGGCCCCAGCCTGGGGTTTGTAACTCCGTAGAGTAGGGAGCCCTGAGATGTGTTGCAGTAACATGCTCTTGGCTGGTTCTGGTGTGGGGGTCACTCTCCTGCCCAACCCTTGCAACACCTTTCAAGGTGACAGTATCATTCCTATTTTTTTTACTGAGGAGCTAACTTGCCCACCACTCTTCAGTTAGTAAACATTGGAGCTGGGCTTTGATTGCTACCTCCTGCCCTTTCCCAGAGCAGATCCACCCCAGCGCCCCTTAACAGTCAGGGCAGCCTGGTTGGCCAGAGGGTGAGAGTATCAGGAAGACGCTGCTTAAAGCACCTTAGGCCCAGGGTGAGCTGATGAGCACCGTGGGGAGGATGGTTTCTTGTTTGGTGCAACTGGGGTACAGGGTCAGTTTTCAGAGTCCCTCTGGCTGAGTCAGGTTTGGAAAGCTGTGTTCTGATGTGTCACTCAGCTCTGCCTTGGTGCAGGCCCTGCTCCCAGGCCTGTTTAATGCAGTAATAGAGTCCTCTCTAGCTTCCTTGGGGTGGCTGTCACCTATGTGTCTAGCTGATCCTGGAGCCACCTCCAAGTTTCTCCTCATCTCCACAGATGAAGAAGCGGGACCTGGAGCCCTCAGATGCCACCTATACAGCCCTGTTCAATGTCTGCGCTGAGTCCCCCTGGAAGGACTCTGCTCTGCAGAGTGCCCTAAAGCTACGGCAGCAGCTCCAGGCCAGAAACTTCCAGCTCAACTTGAAAACATATCACGCCCTGCTGAAGGTGGCTGCCAGGTGTGCAGACCTTAGGATGTGCCTCGATGTGTTCAAGGTGAGGATGCGCTTTCTTCCTGCCTCCCACTTGAGACCTGTCCCATGTAGCAGATGTGAGGCTGTGGCCGTCTGTGCCCCTCACACAGGAAGATTCAGGGACCAATGAGACAGGCGCCGTGCTGGGCTCTGGGGTTCACAGATGAATCTGAAGAGACCCTGCTCTCAGAGGCCTTGGTCTGACAGACAGAGACCGCTAACCCCATGAGCACAGTGGGATCTCTGTGCTGCTATGTGCTGTGTCTTGCTGTGTGGGACTTGGTGCCACGGAGGAGGGTGGCCTCATAACACTAAAGATGAATCTGCTTATTGGGGAGGGCATCCTGCTTAGAAGGAGCAGTAGGGGCCCAAGCCCTGGTATCCAGGGAACTGTGGGGTCCGGCCATTTGTTGTGTAGGGTCTGTGGGAAATGGTCAAATGGAGGCATGGGAGCACTGAACATGGGCCTGTCTGCATTAGGGCTTTGGCCTGTAGCCTCTTATATTCCTCAGCAGCCCTGTAAGAAGGTTTTTTTATTCCTAGAAGAGCAGGACAGGGTTTGAATAGGTAGTACCATAAGCGGGGTGCTTTCTTAGATTGCAAGGAAGTGAGACAGTTGCCGGTTAACACTGAAACAGGCTTATGGGAAGCAGGGAAGGCTCTAAGTTGCTACAACCAAACCTCAGGAGAACCATGGCAGTGTTAGGGCTCAGCATGCCCTTGGCAGTCTTGTTCTTGTGCTGTTCCTTCAGGCATTTCTCACTTTCTGTTCTTACCTTCTACCCAGAGTGACTTGACTGCTTTTCTGTGTCACTGACCGACACTTCCTCACAGCATATAGCATGGTCCCACCTTCCCATACCAGGTTAGAGGACCCTATGGACTGTCCAGGCACCACATGGTGCAGTGCAGCCTTTGACCAATTCCTGGGTTGGTTGCCTTGAGTGGGCCTGCCCTGCTGGAGAGGCAAGATCATGGGGTCTTGAGCCTGAAGACTTCCCTGTGAGGGACAGATCCCTCCAGAGGGTGTTGTGGGTGAGGCCAGTACCTGAAGCTTCTGGAGGAAGTGTGGCTGATAAGCCTCTGGCCTGACCTGTCTGGAGATGTCAGATTGGTATTTTAGGCAGGTCACTCTGGCTAGTAGGGGAAGGGGCCAGTTAAGAGATAGCTGTGATTGTGCAGGAGAGAGAGCTCAGACTAAAACCTCACTGAGGTGGAAGGGTTAGTTTCAGAGGGGGAGGCAGGAAAATGGCAGCAGTGGGGTAGGAACACCTATGCTGACAGGAGAGACAGAGGAAGACAGGCTCGAGGAGGAGACCCCAAGATGCTGAGAGGTAAAAGGAGTGTCTCAAGAAGGCGTTGGCTAACCCTGACTGGCCCAAGAGAGACCAGTGGTAACTAGTGCCTTGAATACTTGCTGTGTGCAGTCTCCACACTGTTTCGTGTGGTTGTTCCAAAGATCCTCTAAGGCAAATCCTGCCTGTGATGCTACTCCCCAGATGAGGAAACAGACCAGGGAGCCTTGCCCATGCACCCACAGCTGGCCAGTGGTGAAGCTGGGACTTGATGTGGCTGTGCAATCCCAGTTTCCAGTACAGAGGCTAAAAGTGATCACTGGGGTGGTCTTTGCAGAGGGTCTGCACAGAAGTGATAGGAGCAGCTGGCAAGAGAGGCCTGGAAGGGAGGAGGAGTGCAGGCAGCAGTTGGACAGCTCTGCTTAGGAACTGGTTCTGAGCCAGCCCCAGAGCTGGATTCAGGCCCCACCTCTTCACGATGTGCTGACCTGGGCCTGCCCCAGGAATATCTGCCCCGAATCAGACCCATTGGGCGGGTCTCTGCCACAGGTTCCCAACGGGACCTCCTCATTTCCTCCCCCAGGAAATCGTTCATAAAGGCCATGCAGTCACAGAGGAGACCTTCAGTTACCTGCTCATGGGCTGCATCCAGGACAAGAAGACAGGCTTCCGATATGCCCTACAGGTCTGTCCCTCCTGACTCTGCCTTCCTGCCTCTCCTGCCACCCCCGATCGCCCCCAGCTCATGCATCTGTGTCTGGTGCAGGTGATGATCCTGTGTGCATTTCTTGAGCTCCTGCTACTGCCCTGGGCTGGGTGTTTTTATATTTGCATATTTTGGTGTTCCCAGAGCACAGTGCTCCCCTGCCCCACTTCGTTTAACAGATGGCAGGGAGAGGAGGCCCTTGCAGGCGGTGGCGGCATGGCTGCCCTGGGAGTGAGGGCACAGCCAGCCCATGCTCTCCTACTCTGCTTGGCGACCTTCTGTGCAGCCAGCCTGCATCTGCTAAGCTTATGGTGCCTGAATGCCTGCAGCACACTTACCTGGGGTACTTGCTCAACCAGCCCTCACAGCCCCCCACCCTCCAGCATCTCTGCAGAGGAACCCTAGGAGTTGCATGTAGTTCCAGGAGAGTCTCACAGACATCAAAGTCGAGACATGCTGCTCTAATCCTACTTAGATTCCCAGGAAGAACTCCACTCATCAAGTAGGTAGGCAGTATTAGCAGTGGTACCACAGCTGTTCTAACTCCTCAGTGGGCAAGAACTGGCAGCTCACCTAGGGCCCTCCTCCTTCAAGGGCAGCCCACAGACCAGCAGCTTCAGCCTCACCTGGGACTTGCCAGGGTCTCAGACCCCTCCCCCAACAAATACACTGCATTCAGATTGGCATTTTATCAGGATCCCCAGGCAGTTGGTCTGCACAGAGTTCAAGTCTCAGTGATCTGCGATAGCCCTGGACCAAATGCTTCCCTCCCCTATGCAGACTCCCTGGAAGGAGCGGCCACTGGCCATCCTCTGGCCATCAGCAAGCTTCATAGTGAAAACCAGCCAATACCTAGTTCTTCCTTCTCCTTGGCCTAGATCAGTTCTAGTTAGAAACAGTCTGTAATACTAGCAGCTCTGCACAGTGTCTTGTACTTATTAAATTGCTTGAGCTAGACACCAGTAGCCTCGTTTTACACATAAGGAAACTGAGGCTCCCAGAGGTTAAGTAACTTGCCTTAGGTCCCATAGCCACTAAGCAGTGGAGCTGGAATTTGAACTGAGGTTCATCTGACTCTAGAGTCAGAATCCCTGCCACCATGGGATAGGGTCTGTGTCCCTGCTAAAACTTGGTTCTGTCAACGTTCCCTGTGGAGGTGCCTGCCAAGATGCTTCCCTTCCTCAATACCCTGTCTGGTGGATCCTGCCTTCTTGCTAGGTGTGCCCACCTGGGCCTGACCAGTCCCTGCCTCACCTGCACACTGGTCCCTCATGAGGGCAGGAAATCAGAGCTCTAGGCCCACTGAGTGTGGCTTTCTGTTGAGCACAGAGAGAAATAGGAGCAAGTGATACCTGGAGCCCAGGTGGTGCCATCTTGATGTCAGTCACCCAGACATCAGAGCTTTTTGGAGATCACACAGAACATACTAGACACTGCTGCGAGTATGAAAATGATCTCATTTCGTGAGGAAATGGGGCTGCCAGGCTCATAGCCTGGCTGAGTCCCCTTTCATCCACACCTGCCTTGTGCTCTGAAGTGTGAGAAAGCTGCCTGGGGCAGTAGGGTGCACAGTAGGCACTCAGGAAGTACAGCTGAATCCAATCCTTAAATTGGCCTAGACTCTTCTAGTACCTAGCCTCTCTAACCATCTATCCCCAGGAGGGTATAGAGGTGGGCAGAGACCTAGGGGCACAGCCTGTTCCCTGGTACAGGGGCCCTAAGAGAGGGCAGAGGGATGAAACTGGGAGAACAGTTTTGGGGTGAGCTAAAGAGAGGAAAGGAGTGGTATCCCCCTGAAGTTTCCCATGGAGTTCCCAGAATCTTAGCGTTCTTAGTTGCCCAGAGCCTGTTGTGGAGTCAGATACTCTGGGTCCTTCCTGTACCTTTTGTGTTTGCCACCTGGTTGCTGACTCTCAGTGTCTGCTCGCTCCTGAGAGGGATCATGGAGCTGAGGCTTGTTTCTCCCTGGCAGGTGTGGAGGCAAATGCTGAGTCTGGGGCTGCAGCCAAGCCGGCATGGCTACAACCTACTATTGGGGGCAGCTCGGGACTGTGGCCTGGGAGACCCAGAAGTGGCCTCAGCGCTGCTCCTGAGGCCCAGAGAAGAGATGGTGCTGCTACAGCCCCCTGCAGGTGGGCAGCGGGCAAGGAGGCAGACAAGGAGGAAAGCCCAGGCCGGGATGGTTGGCAGCATGTCAGCCAGGCTGAATGTGGAGACCCTGGAGAGGCAGCTGTTTCTGGAACCTTCTCAGGCACTTGAGAGGCCTCTGGAGCCTCCAGAGGCCAGAGGCCCCAGTAAAGCCCAGCCCGAGGTGGAAACCAAGGTGGACCCTGACCACACTGTGGCCCTTGCCTCCATGGCCTCAGAGCCACCTCCCTGGCAGCTGGAAGCCAACCTCCTGACTCTGGATGCAGTCCCCCCAGCTGTGGTCTCCTTTGGGACTGTGACCACCTCAGCTGACAGGCTGGCCTTGATGGGGGGCCTGGAGGGCTTCCTGGGCAAGATGGCAGAGCACGGACTCCAGCCTGATATCAAAACCCTCACGCTGCTGGCTGAGGTGGTAGATCCCGGTAGCCCCTCAGAGTCCTCGCTGCTGACTGTCCTGGACACGCACCAGGTGGAGGCTGATGTGACATTCTTCAACACTCTGATGAGGAAGAAGAGCAAGCTGGGTGATCTGGAGGGGGCAAAGGTGAGCGTGGAGGCAGGCATGGGGCTCTGGCCTGAAGCCCTCCTTCTCCTTCCCTCCTCTGGCCCTCCAGCTGTGGGACCTGGCTCCCTGCGAGGTCTGTCATCCATTTCCACAGTCAGTGGTCAGACTGTCCAGAGGCCCTGCTCTGGGCCTGGGCTGGGGTGAAAAGTTGGGAATTGAGTGAGCTGCACTCTCTGCCCTCCTCAAGGAGCTCACAGATTGGTGGGAGGCAGACAGCAAACACATCCTCACACTGACGAGGGGCACAGGGGTCCTTGTGGTCTGAGAGGCTGGCTGCTCCTGAGTATCCCTACCTTTCAGCTACCCCACCTCACTAATGTTGCACTTACTTAGTGCTCGATGCTGTTCTAAGAGCTCCACATCCATTTGTTTCTTTACTGACCACACCCCATTTCACAGATGAGGACACTGGAGCCCCCATGGGATTTTGTCCATTCATACGACATGTTTCTATGTGATGCCTTTTTAAGCATTAGCACTAACCTAGGCACTTATGAATATCAAAGATGACAAAGACACAGCCTCTGCCTTCAGGCCCACAATGCAGAGTGCACCTTCCTCTAGATAAGCTAAATATGATAGAGCCCCTCCCCGGGACTCTCCGTGGCCTCGCCAGGCTGAGCAGGTGTCCTCTGTCCTCTTCCTCACTCTTCCACACTTACCACACTGTCGTCGGCGTCTCCCACCCTGGACCACGGGACCATGAGTCCCTACGGCCTCTGGTGCTCCATGGGCATTGAAGGCCCAAGAGCAGGGATGGATGGCCAACGGAGGAGTAATGAGGGACAGGAATATGAAGGGCATTCAGGAAGAAGGGAAGCTTGTTGGAGACAGGCAAGCTGTAAGGCAAGGTGTACTTGTAGAGCAGCTGAATTCTGGGGAGCAGGCTGGACAGCTATGAGAGGTGGCTGGACAAGACCCTGAGCCCTTGAATGCTGGGATGAGGCCAGTGCCCAATGTGGCCAGCAGAGGGAGTCTGAAGCAGAGCTGTACCCCTGGGGTCTCCAGCATCCAGCCAAGGGCTTCACAGACAGAGCTTTTGCCAGGGCTGGTGGGTTACAGCTTATGGTGATGCCATGTCTGTTCCTACAGGCGCTGCTGCCAGTCTTGGCAAAGAGGGGAATTCTCCCCAACTTCCAGACATTCTGCAATTTGGCCATTGGGTGCCACAGGCCACAGGACGGTCTGCAGCTGCTGGCAGACATGAAGGTGAGTGAGTCCAGGCCTGGGCAGGACTCATGGTGCTGAGGAGCACTCTGGGGATGCTCAGGAAGAAATCTGGGTGGAGGGAAGTGGGTGTCCTCCCATATCCTCCAGGCCTCTGCAAGGTGTACTTGTAGAGCAGCTGAATTCTGGGGAGCTGGCTGGACAGGATAAATTATGTGTGGGGGGCAGGAAGAGTGGGATCACTTTAGCTTCAAGTGTAGATTGATCATCATTGGCCCAATTTGGGAGAAAGTAGACCCTGGTGAGCTGCTGCAGGCATGGGCATTGAGAGCAGGGATGTTAGTCTTGAAGGTGTTGGCAGTGGGGTGAGATTGAGGGGTAGGGACAGGTCTTGGCCCCAACACTCTGGAGAAATAGAGGGTAGACTAGAGCAGGGATGTATCAAAATTCTTGGAGGGTGACAGGGGTACAGTAAACCCAATGCCAAGAACTGAGGAGGTGGTCTCCTGCCCATGGTTTACTTTCTGAGTCAGTTGATCTCTGAGAGCAATTCTCTCTCTACATTTTTCAGGACTGAGAAGGTAAGGTCCTCAGCCATATGGGATGAACCCAAAGAGTGGGGCACCTGTGCTTTCCTTTTGGAGGGGGCAGTGCAGCTCATTGTTGCTACGAGTTTCTGCCCTTCTTGTCCCTGGCCACTGGTCTGCAGAGCAGACTTGACTGGCAGGGTAACTCACCTAACAGGATGGGCTGCAGCAGGCTTTGGCCCAGCAGTCACCATCATCTCGCTGATTGTATGTCTGCGACGTTCCAGAAGTCCCAGATGACACCCAACACCCACATCTACAGCACCCTTATCAATGCGGCCCTCAAGAAGCTGGACTACACCTATCTCATCAACATCCTGAAGGATATGAGGCAGAACAGAGTCCCAGTGAATGAGGTGGTCATCCGTCAACTGGAGTTTGCAGCCCAGTACCCACCCACCTTTGACCGGGTATGTGCACCAAGCTCTAATGTGCCCATTGTCTCCTTAGCTAGTGCCACCCCCCACCTGGTTCTGGCTGTGAGGGACTGGTATTTCCCTTGCTTTAAATTGTCAGTGGCTGCCCTTAGGAGAAATCCCAAACTCCTTAGACCCAGCTTGCAAGTCCCTGTCCACATGGCTTTCATTTCAGGGCACTCTTCCCTTTGTTCACTGTCAGTCCCACTGGACTTCTGTTCTAAATATCACCAGCCTTTTTCCTGCCTCAGGCTTTTTGCATTCTTTCTGCCTTAAATAGATTCCCCCTACTTTTTCACATAACTGGCTCTTTTTCATCCTGTAGGTCTCAGCTTAAATGGCTCTTTTTCTGAAGATACCCAGCTGGCTGCCTCCCTTCCTATTACATACATCACTATTTTTTTTCACCATGTTTCACAGCCTATACTTATATGTGCACATGGATGACTCTCACCTTCAAAAAATTATAAACCCCTGAAGGTGGGTTTATAATGCCTACCTTGCTCACCTGGATCCCTGGTGCCTGCCCACTGCCTGTACCCAGTATGGACTGTTGTCGAGTGAAAGGGGACAGTAGGGCAGTGTTAGAACCTGTTCTCTAATGGCCACTTCTTTCTCTGCCATTCTGAGGATATCAGAATCTGGGCATTCAGTTTTTAGGTCTACTGAGTCAGACCCTGTGCTGAGCTCCTCCAGAGCAGCAGTGGCCTGGAGGAGCACCATCCCGATGGGTAGGGAGACAAGTCAGCAAGGACACACCAAGTTGTGGGGGCATGGGGTCAGGGACAGTTGTGCAGGTGCGATGCTTGAGAATCATTTTGAAGGCTTAGTAAGAATTAGTGAGACAGCAGTGGAGAGTATGGCAGGCAGAGGGCATAGTTGGGTATCTTTGAGCAGTTAGTTGTCAGTCTCATTCATCCCTCAGAGTTCTTGATATATTATGGATACTAGTCTTGTTGGTTGCATGTTGCAGATTTCTTCTAGTTGGTAGGTTATCTCATCACTCTGTGGTATAGGGCCCACGAAGGGTCGTCTCAGATTGTCAGCAGTCCCTAGACTACCAAAGTACTTACAACTTACTGTATTGAAATCATACATTCATATTCCCTTGAGAGTGGACTTATTTCTGTTTGTGAAGGTTTTGCTTTATGTACTTTCAGGCTACATTAGATATATACAAGTTTAGGATTGTTAAATCTTTTGAATCAACCCTTTTATGGTGTAGTCAGTCTTTATCTCTGCTACTTTTTTGTCCGTTTTTCTTCTTTTTCCCTACCAGCTTTCTTTTTGGTGTCTGTCTAGTACATCTTAGTTCCTCCTTTTCTTTCGACCTCTCCAAAGAGACCAAAGCAGCAGTGTTGAGATGACGGTCAGGTGACAGTAGCTGTGCTGAGGTGGAGGCACTCAGCTGACTGTGGAGGCAGAGTTGGTGGGACCCAGCGATTCTAGCTTGGGGGGGGTTGGTGTGACATCCTTGGATACAGAACACATATTTAGGAAGGATTGTTAACATGGGAATCTGGGTCTGCCTCATGGTATAGCAACTTTGCTTTTTTACGGTATACTCAGGTATTAAACAGCTTTCATGCCTTCTCCCCTCTTCACAGCTTCCCTGAGGCCCGAGCCAGCTGTTGTGGTTTGGGATTAGCTATAGGTAGCGTGCAGTGATTCTAATTGTGGTTCCTCTGAAACCCTGAATTCCATGCTTTTCCAATTACAGTACAAAGGGAAAAACACCTACTTGGAGAAGATTGATGGCTTTCGAGCTTATTATAAGCAGTGGCTGAAAATGATGCCAGCAGAGGAAACCCCCCACCCATGGCAGAAGTTCCGGACCAAGCCCAAGGGGGACCAAGACACTGTCCCCAAGACTGATGTGGATGGAGGCATTGGGGGCAGGTGATGGGGAAGCCCAGGAGGGCATCCAGCAGAGCTGGAACTAAGTGCACAGCCTTCACAGTGCTTTGTGGGAACTCCAGGAGTCCCTTTCATATTAAAGACACATGAACGTGCTGGTGCAGCCTCAAGCATGAGGACAAGGTCTGGCCAGAGTAAGAGCTGCAGCATTTGATATAAAGGCAAATAGTGGGCCCAAGGTGCCTGACAAGTTCACAGAAGATCCTAATGCAGCTTAGGCCACTTTGGCACATCATCTTGGGCCATCCTCACCTGAGAGGTTGTCATCCCCATCACTGATGAGGAAAGTGAACTTCAGCACCATCACATGGCATCTATGAGGTGGAGTCAGGATCAAGTCCCAAGGGCCTGGCGATCTCCCACTGGGCTCCACAGACTGCTGGCTCTGTGAAAGAACTACCATAGGCCCCAAAGGTTTAAAAGTTTTATTTCTACAAATCACAGCTGATGAACACCAAAGCATTCACACGTAGAGACCATGCTCCAGCTAGTTCCTGGGGCACTGCTCTGCGAGAAGAACTGCTATCAGGAAAGGGGCTGACACAACAGGCAGAAACCTGTGAAGTCCAGAGTCCTGGGTGGAGAGGGGTCAGGGCATGAGGGCCTCAGCCAGAGCAGCCCCGGCAGCCACAGTGTGTGCACTCAATGATCCGGCCCTGCAAGAGAAAACAACTGAGACTTGCACCCTGATCACATGCCAACCCTCCATCCTCCACACATAGTCTTCCCACTGAGAGAAGGTTGGCAACGGGATAGTCATTCCCTACAGAGCACTCATCAGAAACTCCATGACAGTTCTGGATGGCAAAAATTCAGTTCCCTCGTGAAAATGGAAACAGCTGCTATTGACACTGAAGTTACATGTCTCTGTGCATTTAATTTATGCAAATTGTACACGTTTTTCCCAAGGGGGGAAAAATTCTATGTGATCCTTGTTATTCTGCAAAGTGAGCATGACATACCCTGCTGTGAGCTAGAGGGGGATCTTCTGCTTAGGGGGCTCAGGGCTGTCTCTGGGCTAGGGAACTTTCCAGTAGGGCATGAGGAGAGAATGGTGTGTACTTGAATCTGTAGAGCAGCAGAATGGTCTTGTCCCCCAGGCCAGATGTGGCCTGATGTCTGGCCAGGAGTCTGTCCAACAGACAGAAGACCGCAAAGCAGTGGCTTATATTTATTTTCCTTTTTTGTAAGACCCTTGTCTAAACAAACAAGATCTGATGGTGAAACCCAACTAAATCCAAAGCAGGCCAACATCCCAGTAACTTCTCTGCCTCCTGCAGCCCCATTTCAGGGGGGGGGACTGTGCCCTCAGATCAGCTACTGCATAGCCAGCACCATTCCTGAGGTTTGGAACAGAAAAGTTCTGACAAAAGAAATATAGTAACTAAAGTGTCAAATTGAGGAAATGGAGACCTGGAAAAAAGGGCAGCTGAAGGGTGAGTACTGTTGACTGGCTCACTCTTCCCTGACTCAAGTCCTCCCAACCACCTAGGGATATGTGTTGTTACCCCCATTTTGTAACAACTTGCCCAAAAGTGGAGTTGAGACTGGCCCTAGACATAACAAATACCATTAGTGCCAAAATGCCTAGCACGGCTTCCTGAACAGAGGGACTCACTTCTGGAATGATAGGAGGGAATGGCCATCAGGAAATCCAGCAACCAAATTATTTCCCGCCCCAAAAGAGTGGAGTGGAATTCTGAAGTGAAAGTAACATCAAACTCAACTGTCAGACATTATAGGGATAGACATTACCACTTCCAGCTTGCTTTTGGGGACCCGGCAAATGCAGTTCGTCCCAAAATTGGTGTCTCGTGTCTGAATGCACCGCAGGCAGCATAAGTTCTCATAACCCTGCTTTTTCCATTTAGCAATCAGGTTTTTGTCTGCATAGCCTTCTTTAATACAATATTCATATAGTTCTGTCAAAAAGATGGGGAAAGGGCATCAGACCATGGAGTAACAAAGCTTGCCCCACCTCTGGCCCATTACTACTCTTCATTAAATAGAATATCCAACTTTAGTCCCTTCCCCGTTTTTTTAGTGGTAAGAAAAATCATGAACCTTGCTGAGGTTGCAATAATAGAGCCATTACTTAAATAAATCTCAAAGCTACTCAAGTTGGAAAGGCCAAGAGAGAATCTAGCCAATTACCTCTGCTTATGGCTTTCCGCTTATAGAAGAGGTCAAAAATATAGCGCGTTTTCTGGTGGTGGATCCTGAAGATAGGCCACAGAGACTCCACTTTTCTCTTTCCCTCATGAGGTTCTGTTTCAGCTGGGGAGAAAAAGGTGTTTGTTTTGTTTTGGCAGGTAGGATTACTCTGCACAGGATGTAGTGTTTTTTGTTGTTTTTTAATCCTCACCTGAGGATATTTTTTCCATTGCTTTTCAGAGAGTGGAAGGGAGGAAGAGAGACAGACAGAGAGAGAGACAGGCAGGGAGGGAGACAGACATTGACGTGAGAGAGAGACATTGACTGGTTGCCTCTCGCACACGCCCTCCTGGAGCCGGGGATCGAGCTCACAACTGAGGAACATGCCCTTGACCAGGAATCAAACCCGAGACCCTTCAACCCACCGGCTGATGCTCTAACCATTGAGCCAAACTAGCCCGGGCTAGTTTTGTTGTTGTTTTTCCAAATAAGCAGGAATAAAGAATAAACCCTACTTTATACCCTCTAGGGTGGCTAAAATCAAAATGACAGACAATAAATTGTAACCCTCATATGCTGCTGGTGGGAATGTAAAATGGTGCAGCTGCTGTGGAAGTCTGGCAGTTCCTCAGGAAGCTAAACAGAGTTACCATATAACTTAGCAATTCGACTGGGTATATACCCGAGAGAACCAGAAACACACATGCACACAAAAAGTTGTATGTGAATGTTCACAGAAGCATTATTCACAATAGTCACAAAATAGAAACAACCCCAGTGTCCATCAACTGATAAACAGATAAAATGTAAACTAGCCATACAACGGAATATAACTGTCTTAAAAACGGATAAGTACCAGTAACATGTATGAGCTTTGAAAACATTACGCTAAATGAAAGAAACTAGTTCCCAAAGCCCACCTACTGTATGATTCTATGTCTTCAGAGGCAGAAAGTAGATTACTGATTGCCTAGACCTGGGAGATGTGAGGGGAAATGACCACTAAAGGGTATGTATATTTTTGGTGGCGGGTGGGGTGGAGAAGGTGATGAAGTGTAAAACTGATTGTGGTGATGGGTTGCCCCACTCTGTGACTATACTAAAAACATCCCTTATTTGAACACTTTGAAAGGGCAAATTTTACATTATATGATTTATATCTTAATACAGTGATTAAAAAAAAATAAAGCAAAAAGAAAAAGCCACATGATTTAAACATTTTTTAAAATGCCTTTTTAATTAGATAAATTAGAAAACAATGGTTTTGAAAAATAATTCAAAGATAATTGCTGTTAACACCCTGGTCTTTATCTTTTCAGACCTATTTCTACAGTATAATAATTTCTCAACATAATTCTGGGCCCACAGATGGGCATCCTAATCATCTTTAAGGTACCTCTAATTTCATTTCCCAACCAAAGTCCTTTAGGGATAAAAGGAAAAAACTGGACTAGTCTGAAAGTTCATAGCATGGCAGGCTTACAGGAAACAACTGTTCCATCTATATATGTAGGATCAGGTAGCAGCTCAAACCTGCCACAGGCATTCTGTTAGAGGTTACAAGATGATCTTTGTCTACCACCACCTCTTGTTTTAGGGCAGAGGAGAAAGGTGAGGAATGGTAAAAAACAAAACAATAACATACCTCCATTTCTCCAACTTTGAGGCTACCTTTTTTTTTGGTTAATCCTCACCAGAGGATATTGTTTCCATTGCTTTTTCAGAGAGAGGAAGGGAGGGAGGGAGACAGGGGTGAGAGAAACACTGATATGAGACACATTGACTGGTTGCCTCCTACATGCGCCCTGACGGGGCTGGGAGGGGATGAACCTACAACCCAGGTAGGTGCCTTTGGGAATCGAACCTGCGACCCTTTGGTGCTCGGGCCAACGCTCTAACCATTGCGTACACTGGCCAGGGTGAGGCCTTTTTTTTTTCAAACCTAGGATTTAAAATTCAGCTCAACAAATGGTTTCTGTAATTCAATCAAAAGGCAAGCACTGAAGATGCAATAAGAGCACACTGTTTGCCTTCTGTGAGGAAGGCCCTACTCCAGGTGTCCAGATACAGAAGTAGGGAAGACAGAGAAGGCCTGGATCTGCATTCCAGGGGAGGGAAGCAGATCAGTACCTCGTGGTAAGTGGTAACAGATGGCAAGCGGAGAAAGGAGGGACTGCTATTTTATACAGGTGATCAAAGAAAGCACAAAGGAGACATCTAAACAGACATCTTAAGAAACAAGGGGTGTGGGTAGGCTCAGATGTGGGCAAAATGGGTGAAGGTGGTCGAAAGGTACAAATTTCCAGTTATAAGTAAGTCCTAAGGATGTAATGTGCAGCATGGTGACTATAGTTAATTACTGTATTGGCCATTTGAAAGTGGCTAAGAGAGTAGATCTCAAATGTTCTTATCACACAAAAATTATAACTACATGAGTTGATGGATATTTACTAAATTTATTGTGGTCATCGTTTTGCAGTATAGGTATACATATATCAAATCATGTTGTACATCTAAAACTAATACAATGTTTTATGTCAATTATATCTCAATTAAAAAAAAAAAAGAAACATGAAGGGCAAACATGCCTGAGAGGCAGAGCAACAGCAAAGCAAAGGCTGTGAAGCAGGACTGTACCTGGGGTCAAGGAATAGACTGGATAGGGGGTTGGGGAGGTGAGTAAGGGAGAGAGGAAGGCGATGGAGCTGGGGGAGACAGTGTGTTTGACCTGGAAGGCAACAGAAGGATTTTGGTTTTGCTCTGATGGGGAGGTGAACCAATGTAGGATTCTGAGCAGAAAGTGATATAATCTGACTTATGAGTTAAAACCCTTACCCTGGCTGCCCTGTGGAGAGAACTGTAGGGAAAGGAGAAGCAGGAGGCTATTGCAGTAATCTAGATGACAAGTGAGGGTAGCTTGAACTAGGTGGTGGGGATAGATGGGATAAAAGGAGTCAGATTTTAGATACACAAATTTTCTAAGATTTCACTATGAACAATTTCCAATATACACAAAAGAAAACAGTTTACAGAACTTCCAAGTACCTATCACCCAGCTTCAAGAATTACTAACAGCTAGTTCAGTTTTATCCCGTTCACCCTACTTTGGAGAGTAGGGAGATAGGAGTATTTTAAAGTGAATCTCAAACACCTAGCATCGCATGCATAAGTATGTACCTTTACATACTAAAGACTTTAAAAAACATCTGTAATGCCAATAATCCACCCAACAAAATCAACCATTATTCCTTATTAGTATCCCATATTCAGTCCATGTTCAATTTTCACTGATTGCCTTAAAAATGCCTGTTGACAACTATATGTCTGAATTAAGATCTAAACAACATCCAGATGTTGTATTTGGTTGATCTGTCTCAAAGTCTTACTTATTTGTAACAATTTTCCCTCTCTGTTCTGCTACCCTTTGTAGGAATCTGGATGTCTTCGATGCTTGGATAGAAATAAAAGAGGAGTATCAAGGAAAGCTCCACAGTTTATGGCCTGAGAAGGGAAGCAGCTTTGGGGTTGGTGAATGAGGATTTATTTCTGGACACATTAAGTTGGAGATGTTTTTAGATACCTAAATGGGCCCATCCAATAGGCAGTTGGTGTAGAGTCTAGTGTGGAGTCAAGGCTGGAGAAGACATTTGGTCACCTGGGTAGAGAGTGTGGAAAGCCACGTGGCTGGATGAAACCACTGAGGAAAAGGTGGAGGGCATGGACTGCATCCTGGAAGTGGAACTTTCCTATACTTTTGAATCTTCTCTTAATCTTTTAATCATAGCATCACCTGCATTTTTAAAATCCTTTTACCCATTTTCACAAGATCATGTGAATATTTTTTTCTTTTTAATTGATTTTTTTTTTTTTTTTTTTAAAGG